TCTTTTTTTAAAAATCTTTATCAACTCTATGAGCTCTCCCTAAGGAGTATTTATAACCTTACCATAAATTCAAATTGGTTTAAAAACATCTGTGTTTCCTTTATACGGTAACACAATTTATAGAGTATAACCTGACTTAACCTACCTCTGTATTGTATAAACGTATAAGCAACGTTTCAATCCCCATTATTATAATAGACCATTATATTTGCTAAGTGGGTTAACCATGGATCACCCTAACTTACAGAAAAACTTGTTGGTCTAATGATGGTAGCAGTATTTCCATTGTTTTGATGGAAAAACAGTAGAGTGCTATGTACAGTTCTCTCCTGTAAAGCTCGTCGTACCTATGCAAAAGGATGGAAGCTATCACAAAATGATAACGCAGCACCAGGTATTTGTGATGGTTGAAGAAAGAAGACGTAGAGATAAATCGGGTCTCCGGTTGGATTATCAAGTTAGGACAACTCTAACTGGATTTGATGTGCGAGACTGGAAAAAGCGCACATATAGCAGAGATATCTGGAGAGGAGTGCCCAGTAAAGTAAGTAAGTAATACATCGCTATATCATAATGGACGACTTAGTGCCTAAATGTGTTTATCTTGGTGAAAAGTTGGTCTTTGACATATATGCCACTGAGATAAGTAATATATTGCAAACTTTCTGTGTGCTGAAGAGTCTCGTTTAAATTTTTTTGCTATTTTCTTGGTTAATTTCTTATGCTAACAAGTGGTTTTAACAACTATTTTTTCTTTTGTACTATCCTAAATTGTTAATTATTTCTGTTCTGTTCTGTTCTGTTCTACAACACCCAATGTCAGTTTAATTAATGGCTCCATTTCAAAAGAAAATAATTTACAAATTTTGTTCAACCACAAATAATTTTCAAAGTTGAAGACGCCATAAGGCAAATGAATTCGAAAATTCTGACACTTCTGTCACATTCGAGTTCCCCTCACTGCTCGATTTACATTATTTACTTTTGTTATTATTATTTCATTAATTTTGACAAAAATATATTAAAATGTGACGAAAATTCTTGAATGACACTTAAAGTACTTATTTTACAATTAGTGGAGATAAAAGCCGACGGCTGTTGAGCATGAAGAACGCTGACGTTCGCTTATGGAAAACCGAACTCATATTTCTTGACTTAGCAGTGTACACAAGCAAACACAAGTAAACACAAGCAAACACAAGCCAACACAAGCAAACACAAGCATCGGCTAAGAGAAGGAAAGTGAATGTAAATGTATACGAATTTCTACGGCGAGTACGCTTGGCTCTGTGTGAGTGTGTGTGTGGGTGTGTTTATGTGGTTAAAGGCGCCATAAAAGTACTTAATTAATTGCTTAACGCGAAAATATTATTCATTCAAAACACATAACACGACTTGTGCGGCTAAAAGCACACTCGTGCACACAAACACACTCACAAACAGATAGAATTTTTTTACATACGTTAGTCGTTTTGTTTTTTTTTTGTTTTTTTTTTGTTTTTTGTGTGTTATTAAGCTTTCGTTCGTTCTAAAGCATCCCACAAATTATTTACAACATATTGGAAGAATGGCACATTTCCCCAAAAGCAGCAACAAATAACTGCATGTTAAACATGAACACAACAACAACACAACAAAACATAAAAGGAAAAAAGAAAAAATGATAAATTACATGCACAAAAAGATATGTAAAGTAAAAGTGAAAGTGACGTCAATTGCTGCTGGTAGAACGATAAGTAAACAGAAATGAATTTTGAAAAACAATAACAACTTGAAGAAGCATAAGCTTCAGAACTTCATAACACACCAACACCAATACACAAATAACTTCGTCATAAGCAAAAATACACATTCAAAAGCATATAATGCTGGCGGGTGGCCTGGCTTTCTTCATGAGTCTTGAACTACTCGGTAGCAGATGGGTTAAGCGTGCGTGCGTGTTTTGCAGGGCAATGCGTATATAACATAAAGTCACGTCTAAACGAGAAATTTTAGGACTTATCTCGGATTTAAACTTATTATTTGGAAATTATTTCTCTTCTACTACTTTTAGGCACCGACTTATATTTAAGAAGTATTTATTATATCTGAAATAATAACCCACTGAATTATGTGAAACATAATCGCTCATCATTTCGAGTGCAGATGTAAGGCTTATTAAAAATAAAAATATAATTAATTAATTTAATTATTCTACATGATTATGTTCTAATATAAACACAGCAAGTGAATTTATTAATAAAACTTTCACAGAAAATTAAGAAAATTACAGAAAAATGTGCGAACATAAAAGTCAAGTATGACTTTGGGTCACTTGTTTAAGTAGCGCTGACTCTGAGCTTTAAATTTGGCAGGGCACGAGTTCGATTCCTGGTACTTGCAGTCTCAAAAAACAAAAAAAAATTATTTACGAATAATTAAATAGAAAAATTATTTCCAAGACGATATGATGATAAGTATTTGGCAATACTCGAAACAGCTATATGGTCAGCCAAAAATTCAATTAGTTAAAATAATATAAAAATGTATTTTTGTTGTTGTAGTTCACTTCTGTTCGAAAAACCTCTTTATACTGCTTATGATATCACAATTTTGGTATGCGGCAGCTGTTTATGAGATACTTTACTGGATTGGAAATGCCACTCTGGATAAACAAAATTTTAGGAAACTCAACAAATTTTAGTCGATTTTGTTTTTTTTAGAATTTTAACTTTTGTTTCGATATGAATTTCGGCAAATTCGCTTTATAGTATATAGTATTTTCCATTACTGAAAGGCAACTCAAACTGAAAAAGAACTTGCATAACAGTTAAATGTTAAATAGTTAAAAGTTAAATATTAACAAAACAATATTGAATAAATGAAATTTGGCATTTTTTGTTTTAAATTGTGACTGACAATAAAACTTAACACTAAACTTCATGGGTTCATACAGCTTGTCTTTCAATATCAACAGCAAGACGATACATTCATAGAAGTAAAGTTATGAAGTAAGTCTTTACTTGGGATCAGAAAAGAATAGTACACTATGAGCTGATAAAACCGAACGAAATTGTTACTGCTGAGCATCACCAACAACAGTTCTGGCTGACGTCTTTGATTACGGGATATAGAAACTTCAAGTATTACCTCAAAAAGTTAACTCTTGTGAAGGAAGACACTTGCAGATTATGCCTTGAAGAAAAGGAGAGAGCGGTGCATATATTGTGCCAATGTCCAGCACTGGCAAGCAGAAGGATGACTGCCTTAAAACACAATTGAGTTGATTATAACAGGAGTTGATTATAACTCTAAGTTTAACTCAATGGAGAGTCGAAGAACGAAAAAGGACCCAAGCCGTTTCGTGGTCTACTCCGGCAAATCCTTCACTGCAGTGTAGCAACTTGCTGGACAGTGCGCTGATCCAATATTCTACAATGTATATATATCAACAACAGTTGATAGATTTAAACTATACTTTGAACGAAACACGTTCGATTCCAGCCAACAAATGACTATACTCAACTTTATATTACAAGACGATTAAAAAGGACTTAAATGGACAATTTCAACGCATGTTCGCTATTTATCAGATGGCGTTCCATCAGATTACTACTTGTTTCAAACAATGCAAAGCGCTCTTCCAAACCAGCACTGCAGGTTCAAAAAAAATCGAGCTAAATCAAAAAATAGCTCGATGAATGGATCGCATCAAAAGCCGAACAGTTTATGGAATCTGTAGAAATCTGAAAGGATGCTCAAAACTGACTGCTATGGATTAAAAATATTTTGATTAAATTACAGTTTTGCATATCTAAGATGTTAACATATTTTTTTTTGCAAAAAACATAATATGATTAAAATACAATTTATCATTTCATGGAAATATATGTTGTTTTTTTTTTCAAAAAACTAAGTTATGCACCCAATATAATTGTGATAATTAAGGAAACAGTAAAAGGTTTTCAGTTTCAGTTTAGCAATTTTTGATATACATATATATACACACAACATACAACAAACATCCCATATATATTAAAACAAAAACAGTTAAATGATTTCAATCAGTAATTTTCCCAACCGCAGCTCTGTGAAGGTTCAACGGAATCACGTACTTCTGATATTCACGTGAACTTCCATAATGCAAGCCCACAGGTTTATTTATTTCCATGTATCCCAACTGTTTGAGGTGTACATTATGTATGCCACATATAACGCAGGTTGTCTTCGGGATTTCATTTCAATTTCCACAAACATTTCATTCGCATATTCCAAAGCAATGATAAAAAACAAACGCCCTAGCATAGAGGACGGCTATTGTTTGCTTTGGCTGCAGTAACTGTGTCATTGTGGATGGTGTAAATATCAGTGCCTTCGCAGAATGTTTTCGCACACAATGGGTAGGTCGGTGGGGGAAGAAAACAACATCAAAACAATGGCAGTTGTTATGTAGGCATCAAATAACTGCTGGCAAAACAGCAAACACAGCTGAAACATCAATAATAAAAAAAAGCCTTTGTGGCGAAATACCTAGAAAGTTCTCCAAGCGTCACTCGAATATGTGCCAGCAGTTCCCCCAGCGTCTACCAGTATACCCCTCGGTACCCGAAGCCTTTGTCAGGCATTGCTGTGCGTGTGATTACAGCTGTTTGTGTGAATATGAAAATCCATGCGTAGGTGGCGGCGCACATTTTGCAGCGTGCGTTTGTATTCCATGCTCTATATAAACGTATTACTTATACACACGATACATACATATATATGTACACGTACAGCTATATTCAAACTTATTTATGTTATTTAACATTTAATGTTATGTTCTGCTGACAGCAACATAGGTCGCAATAAAATATCTTAGTTAAGCGCTTTTATATTTCCATTTTCATCTTCAAATCGTTTTTGAAGTTTTTGTGTCATTCATTTTTGTTTTTTCTGTTTTCTTCTCTTTTTTTTTTTGTTTTTTAGTTTTGTTTTTAACAGTTTTATTAACATTCCTCTCATTTCGGTTTTATTTATTGCAGGTTGCCACTTTGTCAGGACGTTATGCCTTGAAGGAAGCGAAGTCTGCTTCGATGGTAAGTTTCTTTTGTTATTAAGTATTGAGGCTTAGAAAAATGCTCCTTTTTAATGTCAAGAAATGTATTGCTTCAAATTAAAACCAAAAGCTAAGACTGAACAAAGTTGACAACAAAAATTTATACTCCTAAGGGCAAAGGGCATGCGGGTCCCTTTTTTATCAAAGTGTTTGCTTGGCATTTCAATCACCTCGAGCGTTTATCCGCCAGTAAAGTGCCTAAATTATTGAGGTCATTTTTCTTGCAAAATTCTTTACTTTTTTTAAAATATTTTTTACTTCTTGCCTTTTAATATACACATTTAAGTCTTCAAATAAAAATTTAAAAACCTAAAATAATGATTTGGAGGTTAAACAACGAATCCGCTTGAAGGTATAAGTATATGCTACAGGAATACTTTTGAAGTTCAGGAAACTGGAATAAAAGAAATTATCATGAGGTTAAGCATTACGAAAAAATTGGAAAAAAAAAAATTTTCCATTTACAGAAAACTAACAAGTACTAATTAGCGTCAAGACGAAAAAAATAATTATCAAATTTTTAACATTATTAAGTTTATTAGTACGATCCGAAAAGGAATTGCTTTATATCATTTGCTTTCTGATAATATGACAAGACACAAACATTCTTTTTTTTGTGATTTTTCGATCATATTAACATTTTTTAAGGCTTAGACAACTGAATATCAGGCTGTAACAGATTGCAGATCGAAAATTGAAGCTTTGACTTTTATTAAACTATACAAATATTATGTCCTTAGTAAAGTTTCTATGAATAAGCAGATAAACACTTTTATACTAGACAGTATTCCACGAATTTTCTTCTTTCCCTTTTAAATGAAACCATTTTCATAATACTGCTACGAATAAAATTGTAGTTAAAAAATTTTATCTTAAATATCCTTCAAAAAAGGTCCTCCTTTTCTTTTTAAGAATATTCCAAGCATTTCTTAAAACTAGATTTTCCTATGATATAATTAATTTTTTATCACCACATCATCACTTTAAGTCACTATATTTGCCGTTGGTAGCTAATGTCCTTGCTACATATATACTTAGTATATTGAAAAATTATATTTTATGCTTCAATATAGTTCCCTTTCAGCTCAACACACTGCTCAACCGATGATCTTTCAACATTTCGATATGTTTTAAATATTATGATTTATCAAGTCCTCCAAAATATATCTCAGTTTCCCATTTCACTTCATCATTTCATACACATCTCTTTCCCTGTAGCCATCTTTACAAGTTCTGAAACAGTTAATACTCACTGGGAGCCAAATCTGAAGTATACAGTGGGTGAGAAAGCAATTCTTAACATAATTCGTTTCATTTCATTGCCATGGTTTTCATTGAAGTGTGACGGGTGCATTATCCAGCAAAAACAAAATTATTTTCTATGACAAATGGGAATCGATTCAATAAAATATAATATTAGTCTGATGTTATTGTTTTTTCTATGAGTTTATGAAAATTAATCCACTTGCATCCGAAAATACGAAAGTGAAAACTTTTTCATCCGATTGTTGAGTTCGTGGTCGTTTGGAAGCACAACCACTGAGCTTTACCCTTAGCTCTGGCTTGTTGTTTTCCTCTGGTGTAAAGTAATAGTTCCATGTTTGATCAATTATCACTACTCGATACCCAAAATCAGCTAGAGTGTGCATACCATAAACATTTGCAAACAATGTTTTGAATGACATAGTCGTTATCCTTTTTGGTCATATTTTTGGTATTCATGTAAAATATTCGACACACATTCATATGCTATATTTGTTATCTCTGCTATCTCATGCCATTTAATTTCTGTATCATTCAACACAATATCGTGGCTTCTATCAACATTTATTCCAAAAGAGGTGACAACTCTTTTAAACGTCCCGAACGCGCTCTTAACAAAAACACTCCTACGATCACGTTGGAATTCAGCTTTCCAATATTTTATTATTGTTAAAGATGCAATGCAAGGTTGCCTTAAACAGAGTTTAACATATATCCAATTTGATCTATGTAAAAGTATACGAAAACTATTCGACAAATTTTACTAAAACTCTTATGGAATATTCTGGAATGTATTTAAGCTCAATATGTAGAGCTTTTTAATAAAAAAAAAGTCCACCGTTGAGCTCCAAAAATATAATCAAAAAACTAACGAAGTTAACCTTTAAATTATAATAATTGAAATATATATAATATATATATATACATAATAGTAAAACCGGGTATTTCTTAAAAACTCAAAGAATCGGAAATGAATCTTATTTTCCTTAGATTTTTTATTAAAACTTAAATATATCAGACATTCCAATGCCACCCAAAATAGCATTTATTAAAATGCTTACCAGAAATTATGGAGAAGTGAAAAATATCAGGCAAAATAAAAATGAGGAACCACGTATTGTACGTTCAGAAATTTAAGAAGTATTTCATAAGAGCTCAGTGATCGTTTTAAAACGATCACTGTCGTTTAAAATAAAACGACATAAGCTGAAATTTTGAATTAAACAATTGACCTTGATCCACCTATTGATATACTATGCTAAAATAATTTTTTCTAATTGTGACCAATTTAAGAATTAATATTTTCAATTAAAAATATGCTTCAAAGTATTATAAATTATGCATTTAAGGTGAAATATATAAAATGAAATTTCAATAATATACATTTATAATTAACAATATTTTACTTTATTAATTCAAAATGTGCCCACGTAACTTTCTATACTTATATGTACATTTTACCCAATCCACAACTGCGCTAATACAACATTCCATTGAACTACAGACAACATCTTTGGCAAATGCATACCAACTACTGGCGTCGACTTGGAAGACATTGAGAAGTAAATTAGTTTAAAAATTTGTTTATTGCTGAATATGTTTAAATAAACTTGAAATATTTTATTTAAGAACGCCGCTTACGGAGGAACACTCACGGGCGCTTGCAACCATGCTTGAAGAGTTACAGGGCGCTGGGTTAGGTTGGGATCATCCATACGTACAATGTCGCATACAAGGCACTCTATTTTCCTTACAAAAGCAAACTCAATTACCACCAAACCTATGCGCTAATCTGGCACCAACTCCTACAGATATCGATCCCGCTGGCTCATTGGCTTTTGTACGGTTTACACCACCAGATGAAGATTATGCCGATGCTTTGTACTATCCGCCATTAAAGAAGCAAATTAATAATAATGGTATCAACACTATCTTTCATCAATTACAACTTCAAGATCGACAGTCACGTCATGATCCATCTGAGTTGGCTCACTTTGGTAAACTCGATTCATACGGATCACAAATAGATGCTGAACATGTTATGGAAGCATTCTTGGATAATGAACGTGCTCGCATACAACGTGAACAAATACAACGTGAAGCTGAAATGGAAGCGGAACGTAAACTAGCAATGCGAAATCGTTTAGAACTTTACCAAATGCTTGCCGCATCTGAACCAGATCCAGAACCCTATCAACGTAACGCACAACCGACATTGGATAAGCTCGAACAAGTTGTAGAACATGACCCATCTCCACCTGTTTATATACCGGACGATTTAAATGATTCAAATGAACTATATTTTCCGGATAATTATGAAACTTATAAACGTACTGGAGGTAATGGTCGTAAACAATTACCAGAAACAATTGCTGCGCCACGTTCATTCTTTCGTGAACTGGCATCTGAACAGGGTTTAGTACAAGAGCCAGCAAATCGTGAATACTACAGCCATGCGCAGGTAGATGAGCCATTGGATGCCGTTTTGATGCCAACTTACAAGCGTATGCCGACATTCGAAGATAGTGCCGAAAATGACTTTGAACAACAAGCTTTGGAGGAAAGTCTCATACGAAATTCTCTAACACCATTTGAAGAAGAAGCTATGCTTGCTTCGAACTCTTTTCCTTATAAACATAAAACACCCAAACTTGGTCGTGTCTTCACTGAAGGCGGATTGCTTTATATGCCTCAACGACAACAATTTTTGGAAGACACTGACTCTGAGGAAGAAGATAATGAGATCAAAAAGGAAAAGGCTAGAGAATTACTGGCAAACATGTTGGGCTTTACGCGACGTGAACGTTTGGATGTGAAAAAACCTGGCCCACTTAGTGGTCCTCCATCTTCAGAAGATAATAGAGACGATAAGGGAAAATTAAATAAAACAACCACTAATAAGCTTGAGTCTAAAGAAGTGCTACCTGTTCATATTAAAGAAAGTGAGCAAGTCAACAAAAAGAAGAAGGTTATGCTCAAAGATCATTCAGATGAAGACCATGCTCCACATACTGTAGATACAGAATATGCACATGTCGTTGTGAATAATCCGTAAGTTTACCTTAGCATTGTTTTGATTTAATCATATGTTATGCTATTCCCATTATCAGTATTGACAGTTGGAGTGATGGTGTACGTATAATGAATGAATTGGCTAATATTCTCCACATGCAAGGGTACTTTGCTTATTTAACGTAAGTAAAAATTTTATATTAAACATCGTTTTCCAAAAGATAAATCCTAAACAGATCACAGTTTCGAATAAGAATGAATACAAACAATATAGAATATTCACTTCCATCTTTTGAGAGTTAATGATTGTTTTGGTTTTCAATTTTTAATCGTTTTATTTTATACATAAAATTTATTTCTTATATAAGAAACGATATTTTGAGCTTGAAATATGGATCTCTGCGAAAAAGTAATTGAAAGTAATCTCACTTTATCACGACCAGCAATTGTTAATTATTTTACCGATAGAAAATATAAAGCTTCAAGTATATTTGCAAACTAAAATATTTCTATATTGAACAGCGTTCAACCTCGACAAGTCTCCTTCCGGGTGGACTCAAACAATCCCGATCATAAAACCGCCAGTGACATAGCACGCATCATCAATGACAATCGTGGTGTTAAAAATAACATACTGAGACGTATTGGTGTTGCCGTCAAGAGTGCTGGTGTAGGCGATAAGACAAGAAGTATCGAAGATGGCGGAGTATCGTCGTCTCGCATTGAACTCGCCGAACAAGGTCCAGATGTAACGCACATAATGGTGTATATGTTAGCTGGTGCCGGTGCTGCTGCAGTAATCGTTATCTTCGTTACGCTAATATTGATTAAACGACATGACAAAAAGCGCGACAAGCTAGGTGGTCTACAGTCAGGCATTGCGGGCGCTGAAAGTTGTAGCAAAGATTATCAGGATCTCTGCCGTGCTCGAATGGCTGGTAAGGGCAATGCAGCGGAACCTGTGGCGGGTGGTCGAATAACGTCGCTGAGTAAAGAAAACGATAGACCACCATCATCGCGTTCGAGTACGTCATCATGGAGTGAAGAACCGGCATTGACGAATATGGATATATCAACGGGACATATGGTGTTGGTATGTATAAAAGAAAACACACAAAATCTTGTAACTTAGTCCTTATAGATAAATTTTTAATCATTAACTTATATGTACAGTCTTACATGGAAGACCATTTACGCAACAAGGGCCGTCTGCAACGTGAATGGGAAGCATTGTGCCGTTATGAAGCTGAACCCAGTGCACGAGATGCTGGTCAGCAATCAGAATGTGCAAATTTAAATCGTCCAGGTGCACCGCTTCCCTATGACCATTCTCGTGTTGTGCTTAATCACTTAGCAAATGCAGAAGGACTCGATTACATTAATGCATCAACAATTGTACGTAATTGATTATTAATAATATTAATATTTTCAATTTACAATCACAATAATCTTGTATTCTCTTGTAGACCGACCACGATCCACGTGCACCAGCTTATGTTGCTGCACAAGGACCTTTACCAACTACACTGGCACATTTCTGGCAAATGATCTGGGAACAAGGCGCTGTGGTGATCGTTGCTTTGTGTCGCTTACAGGAAAATGGTGAAATCGCTTGCGCACGTTATTGGCCGGAAGAAGGAGCTGAGGTTTATCACATTTATGAGGTAAAAAAAACTCATTTGTAAATTCATAAAAATACAATATCAGATTTGAAATTAAAATTATTAAAAATAAAAAATTATCATTATATATAAGTTCCTTTAACTCCTAGTAGGATTATGGGACCGCAAAAACGAGAGATATCTCTCGTTATACCGACACTTTAAATACTCTCTAAATCAGGAATGAATTTTATTATATTTTTATCATTTCTTTCGCTATATATAAGTTCCTTAAACTTCTAGTAGGACTAGAAGTTTAGGCCGCAAAGACAAGAGATATCTCTTTTTATACCGACACTTTAAATACTCTCTAAATAATGAATGGATTTCATTTATATCTTTATCATATCTCTCGTTATATATAAGTTCCTTAAACTTCTAGTACGACTATGGGGCCGCAAAACCAAGAGATATCTCTTGTCATACCGATATTCAAATCTTTAACATATCTCTCGTTATATATACGTTCCTTGAACTCCTAGTAGGATTATGGGGCCGTAAAAACAAGATATATCTCTCGTTATACCGATATTCTACTATCTAAATTAAGAATGAATTTTATTTATATCTTTATTGTATCTTCCATTATACCGAGATTCTACTGTATATGAATTTAAAAAAGAAGGAATATAAAGTTATGTTTTTTTTTTAACGCAGGTTCATCTAGTAAGCGAACATATCTGGTGTGATGATTACCTCGTACGTTCTTTCTATCTCAAGAACTTGCGGACAAGCGAAACACGCACTGTAACGCAATTTCATTTTCTGTCATGGCCACAAAGTGGAGTGCCGCCTCAAGCGAAGGCACTTTTGGACTTCAGAAGGTTAGTGTTACCTAAAGCTGAAAATAAAAATCATATAATACAATAACAATATAAATACTTAAATAATCGCAATTAGGAAAGTGAACAAGTCATATCGTGGCCGCTCATGTCCCATTGTAGTGCATAGCAGTACTGGAGCAGGCCGTACTGGTGCCTACATATTACTCGATCTTGTGTTGGGACGGATGAATAAGGGCGCTCGCGAAATCGATATTGCCGCAACGCTGGAACATTTACGTGATCAGCGCGCTGGACTGGTGGCTACGCGACAACAGTTCGAGTTTGTACTTATGGCTGTCGCTGAGGAAGTACACGCCATCCTAAAAGCATTGCCAGCAAATCAATCCAATGAGAAGCGTGAAGTTGAGACAAAAGATGCAATTGGAGCAACTGGTGTACTTAAAGAAGCAGAAGAAGCAGACAGCGATAATGAAGACAAAAACGTCACAAAGGAAAGTGATGTAAAAACAGCCCCAACTAGCGCAGCGGTAAAGGAAAAGGGAAAAGCAAAAGACACAGAAAATGAAACTAAAACAACACATGGCAAAATTGCAACAACAACAGCAGTTGATGCCACAAACGTCAAGAAATGAATAGATAAATTATTATCATAAACTAATCTTTTTAGTAAATTTGTAGTAGTAAGTTTGAATTGATGGTGGTTATTAAATTTTTATTTTTAATTTTTTATTTATTATTTAATTATTAATTTTTTTAATTCTGAGTTCAAATGCACATTTAAGTATGATTTCTTATAATTTAAAACGTATTTTGTTATTGGCACTGTAACGTTGATAGGTACGAAAAAGGCTTAACATGGTTGGCTAGAGAAGGATTTCATTTCTTTTTTTTTTGTAACAATATAATATTATTTTAAATTTTACTTTTTTTTTGAATTTATCGCACTCACAATTAAATGACTAAAGTAATTAAGAATTAAAATTAAATTATAAGATATATTAAAATATATATACATAACAATATATAAAAATACCATATGCATACATAATATTAGAAAATATATATGAGAGGAACACATTTTCTTTTGGTGAAGCATATTTTTGGTGTAACTACTGAGTTGCAGTGTTGAAAAATATAAAAAAAAATTCACTTACCTAAGGTCTTCCCAGCCCGGAGTTGAGGTGGGTGAATCTTAACAGTGTAAAGTGTAGTTACATTTAATAATATATATACTTTTTAATATTTATTTAACACACACCTATTCCCCTAAATAATGATTCCTATATGTATTTTTCAGCATTAAGCAATTATTCTGAGTGTTGTAATTGTTAAAAATATATATTATAAACAATCAGTGTTATATTAAACGTAATTCATAAAAATAAATATTAATTATTCAAGTAATTAAAAGTATTAAACATTTATGTGTACGTATATCTAGTAAGTAAATAAAAAATGAAATTATAAAGAAGAAATGAACAATGCAAACTTTGTGCGAACTATGGGAAATCAATCCAAAGAATTCAATATATAATTTCTTAATTATTAAATTAACTTGAAATAACCAAATGTCTCTGTATACATATATCGAAGATATAAATAAACTAAACTCAATTAAAAACGCATTAAGTAATCTAACTCTTTAAAGAGTAAAGAGTATGTAAGACTCAAGATCCAGCTTACAAAAAAAAAAAGTAACTACACATTAGCAAACATCACCAACACATTGACATATACATATATACACATATATATCAATCAACTGCAACAAAAAACAAAAATAACTATATATTTATTTTTTAAATTTATTTTGTCTAACCAATATGTATATATCTATATATATATATGTATATTTATATATATACGTATATGTATTTATATTTATATATTATTATATTTGATATATATATATATATATATATATATATATATATATATATGTATAATATATATAGAGAAATATCTAATTGTCTAATTGTTTTTAAATTTATATTTATACAAAACTGCAGAATATAAGAGAATAGACAGATTTTAAAACGTATATACACAAAAATATATTTACATATATATCTATTTAATATTTTTGAAAATCTATATGTAATTGTACCTTAAAGAAATTACCACACATATGCAAACTAGTCGTAAAAACGTATTAACGTAAGAATCTTAAAAATCTTGAAAATCATACAAAAATGCAATTGTAGATTCATACGCAGATCTATTTTTGGTTTATATATGTTATATATTTTAATAAATTATATTTTTAATTTATTTTACACTTATATATATATATATACATATATAAACTGAATCATATGTCTATGTAAGTGTATACTTTTGTAAAAACAATTTTTATATATATATATATGTTTATTATTATACTTATTAAACTAAATATACTATTACCCAAAGTCATTATAATACCTGAATTTAGCTATATGCATATTTTGTTGTAAATGTAATTTTCTCTCTGTGTAAATATTCAAAATTTGCGATTATCTCTAGAATTTGTAAAATTTGATTACAACAAAATTTTACTTAACTTACAAAAAGGCAGCTAAAAATTGTAAATTTTGCAAATTTAAAATTTTAATATTTTAATATTTTAAAATCAGCAAAAACGTACAATATATATATATAGATGTATTTATATATATATACAGGTTTAAATCATGTAAAATGCATATATTATTATTAATGTCTAAAATTGAAAATCTAGTTTTTGTGTGTGTTTGTTGTTTGAACGTTAAACAAAAATAATAAAAAAAAATTTATATATGTCTATATTAAACATAAAACTTTTTTTCCCCCTCACCCACAATTTAATGCTAAAGTTTATTAACACTATTAATAAAAAAAAGGAAGTAGAAATCAGGATTTCAAAAAAAAATATTTCACAAAAACCAAAAAAATATAAATAGTTTAAAAATATATCGAATCTTTCAAAAAACAATTAATTGCATATATAACATAAACTTGCTTTATACATAGCTTTATTACTAGTTAATTAAACAACTTAACTAGTTTAATATATATATATATATATAACTTGCAGTGTCCTACACACAGGACACAAGAGTTACTAAATAAGTTCTATTTTACACAGGAGCCCACAGACATAAAACTTCATTTCCGTCTGTTGTTTTAAAACATAACATCACTTAAAACAACCCCAATAAAAATATATTCAAAAATAACTTAATTAATAATACATAATTTTAAACTTAAATAATCAATAACAATTAATGTAATATATTGTTTAATGTGCATTAAGAAAAAGAAAAAGAAATCATATGCATGTAAGGCATGTATAATAACTATTAAAAAAAACAAAAACAAAATAAAATAAACATTTTAATTAACAATTAATAATATTATTATATTTAAATATTATTATTAAAAAAGAAAAGCAAAACAACAGCAACAACAACAATGCTTCATTAACATCCGAAAAGTTTACTTTTCATATAACTATTTTTCCAGCGATAATGTCCAGCTATTATAATATTAATAATAATAATAATAATTCAAATAATTACAATTTAATAACAAAACAGAAAAAAATATTTTAATCATATTGGTGTCAAAAGAAAACAAAAATTAAATTAAATACTAAATACTAAATAATCATTTCAATATTCAATAAATTTGTGCATATATGTATTAAAAAAAAACAAAAATTATAATTAAAATATATAAGAAACTAAAGAAACCAATATTGCATTTTAAGTACATAATATACAGATTTAATGGAATATTCTACATATGTTACGGTACATATACAAAATATATATATATATATATGTTTAAACATATGCATATATATGACATAGTAAAAAAAAAACAAAAAGCGTAGAAATTGTTTTACGTTGTAAGTAGTAGTAAAAACAATTAATTTTCGTTCGTTTCGTTTTAATTATTGAAAATATAATATATACATATATAAAAGTAGAAGCAACAATTTTTAAACATATATTATTAAATTGCTTAATTATTTGAAGTTGAAACAACAAATATCGAGCAATAAAAAATTTATACATAGATACATATTAACCATATATACATTAAGGGAAAGAACAGCATTTTGGTCCTGGCCATATGGTCACATGGCCACATAGTTACTTGGTTACAGGTTCCAATCAAACATCCATTCATACTCAATACGAGCGGAGGATATCTCTTATGTATTTAGCTTAAGCGTTGCACATATGTGCATAGTTAAATTATATACATTCATTCGTTAGTTAATTAAATTAAATGTTATAGTTATGCGTGAATTTATAAAAAAAAACTATAATATAAATATCTATAATAAATCTATAAACAAAATTACAAACATACTGAATAAAACCAAATCTTAAAACAATATTACAATAACTGTGTGGGTCTCAAACAACATCCATTAACATCTGCGTAGACCCCTCAAATAAAAAAACAAAGAAAAACTAAGTCTATATGTGGTAGAAGAGAATAAAAAATAAATAAAATTCATTAATAATATTTAACAAAACAACTTAATTAGTTTTAATGAAAATTACATATACATTATATATATATATACATATAATATAAATGAAAAGAAAATTAAGAAAATTAATTTAATAAGTACATATATATATTTAAAATTGTTTCTAATAAGTGTTGAAAAAAATTCAATTTGAATCGTTTTAAAACAAAAATAGTTTTCATTCAAGTAGAAAAAATTTATTGATTGTATTAAAATAATGCATGCATTATAATAAGTTGTTTAATATAAATATTAAAATTTAAAACTATTTAAAACAAAAATTATTAATTAATCGATATTAAGACCATAATCATAATTACCAGCAAAGTGAGATGAATTATAACATCCTGAACATCCAATGATAACTAAACTAATGAACACACATAACAACCCTGTACTTCTCAAACGTTTTAAACTACAAACTGAAGTGCTTAACTAAAATGTTTAATTAATTTTCGTATATAATTGTTCTTATACTTTTGGCTAATTAAACAATTAATAAACCATATATAAGTATATAAACATATATAATTGAAATTCTATACGTTTTCAAGATACAACTTCTCAATGTGTGGATCAAAGTTACTCGCTAAAAATTAATCTACAAGATAAATACACATATATTATACAAATATTGGATATTCATCTCTCATCATAACGATGTAAATAAACATTAACATTTGCATTGAATAAAGAACAATCAGTTTAAAAATTATATATTATACGCAAACGTCTGTTAATAACAGACCGTTTGCTTCAACGTATAATGCGACTTCATATACATCCAAGTACATGGAACTACAAGTGCGTACCACATGTAATGCACTTACGAAGAATTTAAAAAAAAAAAATCAAAACATATGTAGAAAAACAAAATATTGAAATTAAATTGAAATAGTTATGAAATATTTAAAAACTGTTTAAAAATAACAATGAATACATATATGGGCAAATCAACTATCAAAAAAATCGAATATATACGAATGCCAACACTAAGATACTCAGTTAGACTGGAATGAGTGTAAAAATGACCTATAAATGAAGCAAAAAATAAATAAGATAAAATATGTGCAAAATACAAAGAATGTGAAATATTGTGGATTAAATAATAACTTTAAAAACATACTAAAAAGCATAACAACCAGAGCAAAATATATAAAAATCAGATTACAGATCCAATCACTGATAAAACTGATAAAACACTACCAAATATACTATGTTACATAGCAGAAATGTTATTTAACAGAAAGTGTTCTATATTCTGGAATGTTGAATAGCAGGGTGTACTGTGGTATATAGCACAAAATACTATATATCAAGTAATATTATATAGGAGAGAATGTTATACAGCAGAAAATGTTATTTAATATCAAGTGTTCCCCAATCGGGAATATTACATAGCAAGGAATATAGATTAGCACTGATTATATGGTGTTCTATATTCTAATATGTTAGATAACATGGTATATTAAATAGTCAGGAGTATTAGTT